ATACATGGAAAGCGGTATGAAAGTTATAAGAATGAGAGGGGAACAGAAAGGATTTTGAACTTTCATAGAAACCACCGATAAAGTAACCGGCGCAAAACACCGCTTCCCCACTTAGTCACTTAATGGTCCTCCAGCGCACTCTGTGGAACAGAAACGAGTGTCCACACTTCAAGCTCGCCGAGAATATTACCGAGCACTCAAATAGCGTCTGTACAATGTATTCCAAACTATCGATGGGAGGCGGCATATCATGCTAGACTGGCCGATTCAGATTTAAGAAATATTACTCATTTCTATTCTTTTCAAAATATATTCTATGGGAGCCCAATCGAGCGAAGTCTTTAGTTCGACATTGGTGACCGAATAACTCTGCCCTCAAACAAAAGCTTTTGTAGCTGATGCAAGATTCTTAGCATGAATTAACACTATCCTCGCCAACGACATCGTAAATATTGGCCTTCTTGGGAAAATCGAAGAACCTGTCATTGCTAGTAAGAAGATCATTTTCCATGCAGCCGTACAGGTTTTCGATTGATTTGCAAAATGATTTTTGATTTGTCGTTACCGATTCTAACAAGGTTTTCCTTTTCATTTCAAAAAAAAAAATAAAGAAAAGGGAGACGAAAAAACAAACCGACACTACAATAGGGATGAGATTTTCGGAAAGCTTAAAACCATAAGTGAGCTTCAAAGCCGCGACAGATACCCTAACGGTGAAATCATCAATCACTGCCCAACGGGAATGATTTGGGAACAGAGAACACTAAAAAATTATTGAAGAGATCTTCATCCACCGCTCCATGGGTGTAAGTAGTACTTATGTTATTTCCATCCTACATTTGCTAAATGTTGCCGTGGTAGATTAAATAAACACATTTTTGTCACCATTTGGAACAGTTTAGCAGTTCATCCTGAGCAATTTTTGTATTTTTGTACCCACACAATCCACACGGTAACTATGATTCATTATAGTAATAGAGGAACTAATTCCATTCAGCCGCAGTGATGTTGGGATATCTGCAAAACTTGGCCGCAGGACAGATCGAACCACAATTCCCTCTTCAGGGAGCTCGCGCATTACACACCGCACCATGGAGGTCCTTACTATGCGCTTCTCTCAGCTTGTTTCTATCCACCGGTGCCATTTAACGGGACTGGTCTGGAGAGCCCACGTTGGCATTGAATCCATTTAAGCTGAGGCCGCAGACGAAAGCACAATGTTTACTTTTTCATTTACTGCCTACTACAATATTGATGATACGGCACTGGAAGATAAAAAACTAGCTGAGAGAAACGAAGAGCAAGGGCCTCCGTGGCGCAGTGTGTAATGGGCTAGCTCCCGGAAGAGGAAATTGTGGTTTGATCTGTCTCGTGGTCCAAGCTTTGCAAATTTCCCAGCATCACTGTGGTTGAATTCGCATAGTACGCTGCCGTGAAATTGTAGCACGGAGTAAATAAAAAGTAAACACTCCAACCCCATTCAAATTAACAGTCAATAAACTCTTAGAAGAAAAAGCTTTGTGCACAATTCTAAGTGGTTGATAGAGCTTTTTCCCCAGCTTAAGTCTCTCGCATATATGCTGAGTAAGCAGTCGAGTGATTACAACACGTGACGGAGAACACTACCGTGCAACCAAATTAACCATCGAAAACAAAATGATCTCTCTAGAAGTAAGGCCGGCCATTGTGTCCTTCGACAAATAACTCTATTAAGATATAACCACGACGATGCTGAGATATAACTTCAATGATGCTGAGATATTTGCAAAAATCCAGACCGCAGGTATTTGCGGTGGGGAACGAAAGCGCTATTGTCCTTTCCGGGAAGTAGCGCGTTCACCACCACGCCACGCAGGCCCTTCGTCTCGCCTGTCTCTCACCTAGATCTATTGCTCTTTTGCCATCAGCAATCACCCGTCAGCGCGATTGATCTGGGGAACCCAAATCGGCAACGAACCCAGTTAAGCTGAGGCCTCAGTTATAAACGCAATTTTAACTATGTGTACCCTGCCGTTAAAAATAGTAAGCAGTAAATAATAAGTTAAAATTGTGATGCTGAGATATTTGCAAAAATCCAGACAGCATGTACTTGCTGTGGGGAACAAAGACGTTATTACACTTTCCGAGGGCTAACGCGTTCACCACCACACCATGCGGGTCCTTCGCTTCACTTGTCTCTCAGCTAGTTCTATCGATCAAACCGGGTCCTTTGAACTCAGTCTATTTATGTAGGGTCCCCAGGTCAATGGCGTTGACGGGTAATTGCTGATGGTCTGATAGATAGAACTAGCTGAGAGACAGGTGAAACGAGGGAGCTGCATGGTGTTGTGCTTTACGCGTTAGCCCCCATAAAGGGTAATAGCGCTTTCGTTCCCCACCGCAAACACCTGCGGCCTGAATTTTTGCAAACATCTCAGCATTATTGTGCTAAAGACACACATAATAACCGGCCGTGAAAAACTGTAATAGGCAGTAAATAGAAAGCTGACATCCACTGAGATCGCCACTTCAGCACATAATTGTTGCATTTCAGCATTCCTTAGTTCGTAGTCAAAACTTCACATTTAATGCTTCACCTGTATCACATATAGTCTCGTTGATCCTCGAGTGGTTCGAGCAGATACCATTAAGTCTTCCATTTTTCTCTGTCGTGTGCAACAGTAACCCAGTGGGTTCTGCTCGCTCTTGGAACTCGCCGATCATCACATCTTTCTTCTAGGCTCTTCGTGAAGAACTCTGACCATCGGGTCGGTGGTCTTCCTGTAGCACGTTTCATTCTCCATCGAGCTCCAGCATATTCTCCATTCCTCGGAGTTTTGGTGGTTCAGCCACTGTACTTCCCTGGAGTGCCGAGCTCTGCTAGGCCATAATCTGGTCTAGGTCGTCACCACCACAGGCAGTCACAGCCCTTGTGGATCAGGGGGATTTGCCACCATGCGACCAGTTTAACGAGGACGGTGGTGGATCCTGGTATTGATTTATTCTTGGCTGCGCTTTCTAATGGAAACGCCGAACTCCTCAGCTTGGGAGACCCTTCTAGGGAAGGAATCCCCCTCTATACATCGCAATCCAACACCCAGGAACTCCTCTCAGCGAAGATGAGCCAGCCCGATTCTGGTTGCTGTTCGAACAAATCGAAGCTCATGGATAACCTCGTGTTGACGAGAACGCCGACGCCGCCGAATCCTCTACTCTCTATTGTCGCATGTTCCGAGGAACACTTCTTCTCCGGTGTCATAGAAACCGTTGAAAGGCTGGCGTCTTCTCGCCTTGGCCAGGCCGTTGACGTCGTACCTTATCCTTCTTGCTTGCATGAACAAGTCTTTTATCGAGAACTCGGATGCAAGTGTACGTGCATTGTAGGTACAGATCGTCACTATAGTGCTTTGAAATCTAGGCAGGTTCCATTGGCCCTGAGATTTTAGCGGCCTCTCCGTACTCGTCCTACCCAACGCTACGAAATTGGGAAATCTTTCAGGGTCAGGGGAATGAGACCCGATTTTTTTTTACTGTGTTTAGCATTTGCGATACCCACGTATAACCTGCTGGGCTCTGAACGTGGAGGCTGGATAAACCCACGGGTAGCTTGTCAGGCTTTCCCAGAGTAGACATGGAGCTTATTTGTTGGAGGCGACTCCTAACCGCCTTCCATACCCTTTCGACTCAACGGTACTTCCTGTCCTAACGTATGCGTCAGAAACGTGGTCGCTGCGTAAGCAGAATGAAAGGTCACTCAGCGTTATTGAACGCGCAGTCGACAGGGCGATGATCGGAGTATCCCGTTCCACACAAGTCAGGGATGGGATCCGAAGCTCCGATCTGCGTCAATGATCAAAAATCAAAGATGCCGTTCTGTACACTAAACAGTCGAAGATAAAGTGGGCCGGACACGTAATGCGTATAAATGACAACCGATGGACAAGAGCCGTTAGTAACTGGATTCCTCGGGATGTCAAACGTACTGCGATAAGACCACTGACCCGATGGTCAATGTTCTTCGCGAAGAGCCTACATGAAAGATATGGTGCTCATCGAGTCCTTTGAGAGAGCAGAACTCACTGGGCTAGTCTTGCCCGCGACAGGGAAAAATGGAAGATTTAGTGGCGCCCGCTCGACAATCAACGGGACTATAGGTGATACAGGTGAAACAGGGCCTTCACACGTGGACGCGAGGGAGTAAGCTACTCCTAGACAGGTTCGTTACTAAATTTCCGATCTCACAGCAATGGGAGGTTTGCTGAGCTCGGAATGGTACCGAAGCAGCCTCTTGATCGATCGGGTCCTCTTCGTATTCAACAATATCACAATTATTGCGTTAGGCACCCCGTCCCATTTCAAAATATGCGCTGAATTGACTGATCAACATGTATTTTTTTCAATCATAAGCTGTTAGTTTTTCAATTAAAAAATACATCAGGTTGATGAGAAATTTCACTTCGTTAAGGCTTTGGCGCCTTCACCTTCTTCAAAGCCGGATTGTCCACAGGAAAACAGTTAAGAAGACGACTGCGCTGAAACGTAAGCCTAGTAAAGTTTTTATCAACTTCGTGCTAACCTATCAATGGAGAAATACATATGCGTCGTAATTCTAGGCGGTAATTTTTTCTACACAACCTGTCTTCGTATCTACCCTGCCGTGTGGATCCCAGCACTTCTTGCACTCGATATGTTTTCTCGCATCCGTCATATATTAACATCTTTGAAAATTTCGCGTGTCGGTCCGACTATTACTTAAGGATTATCGTCTTCTTTAATGAACGTTGTAGAATAATAGTCGAATCGATCCTCTTTAGAGCCCTGCCTTAGCCGGACTGGAGCGTTCCCACTTGTACTTCAAGGTGTGAGCTGAGGGCAGACAAGTCTGGTAGCAATCCGTCGACCGCGGAGGGAATGGTGGCGATCTGCACCTACAATGCACGTACACCTGCATCCGCGTCCTCGATAGAAGACTTGCTCATGCAAGCAAGAAGGATAAGCTACGAGTCATCGGTCTGGCCGAGATGAGACGACGCCACCCATTCAACGCCGTCTGTGACACCGGAGAAGAACTGTTCCTCGGAACATGCAGTAGAGGAGTCGGCGGCACCGGCATTCTCGTCAACACGAGTTTGTACATGATCATCGATTCATTCGAACAGCTAACAACCAGAATTGGACGTTTACGACTAAAAAGACGTGGATCCATTCCGGCTTTGACAATCTTCGTCATTTACGCGCCGACACTAAACTACGACGAAGAAGAAGTCGAAGCGTTCTAACGTGGACTTGGAGAAGTTCTGCAAAGAAGACCACACATTCTTCAAGGTAATCATTGAAGATTTTAACGCTAATGCTGCACCAAAAAGAACATCTGAAGAACGTCACACTGGGACCCACGGATTAGAATGGAACGAACATGATGAGCGGCTTTCTGAGTTTATCACGATGATGAAGAGTCTGACCATCGGCTCAGTGCTCTTACCGCAGTACGTTTGACATCCCGAGGAATCCAGTTACTAACGGCTCTTGTCCATCGGTTTTCATTTATACGCATTACGTGTCCGGCACACTTTATCTTCGACTGTTTAGTGTACAGAACGGCATCTTTGATTTTTGATCATCGACGCAGTTCGGAGCTTCGAATCCCATCCCTGACTTGTGTGGAACGGGATACTCCGATCATCGCCCTGTCGACTGCGCGTTCGATAACGCTGAGTGACCTTTCTGCTTACGCAGCGACCACGTTTCTGACGCATACGTTAGGGCAGGAAGTACCGTTGAGTCGAAAGGGTATGGAAGGCGGTTAGGAGTCGCCTCCAACAAATAAGCTCCATGTCTACTCTGGAAAAACCTGACAAGCTACCCGTGGGTTTATCCAGCCTCCACGTTCAGAGCCCAGCAGCTTATACGTGGGTATCGCAAATGCTAAACACAGTAAAAAAAAATCGGGTCTCATTCCCCTGACCCTGAAAGATTTCCCAATTTCGTAGCGTTGGGTAGGACGAGTACGGAGAGGCCGCTAAAATCTCAGGGCCAATGGAACCTGCCTAGATTTCAAAGCACTATAGTGACGATCTGTACCTACAATGCACGTACACTTGCATCCGAGTTCTCGATAAAAGACTTGTTCATGCAAGCAAGAAGGATAAGGTACGACGTCAACGGCCTGGCCAAGGCGAGAAGACGCCAGCCTTTCAACGGTTTCTATGACACCGGAGAAGAAGTGTTCCTCGGAACATGCGACAATAGAGAGTAGAGGATTCGGCGGCGTCGGCGTTCTCGTCAACACGAGGTTATCCATGAGCTTCGATTTGTTCGAACAGCAACCAGAATCGGACGTTTACGATTAAAAAGACGTGGATCAATTCCGGCTTTGACAATTTTCGTTGTTTACGCGCCAACATAATACTATGACGAAGAAGAAGTTGAAGCGTTCTATGTGGAATCGGAGAAAAGTTCTACAGAGAAGACAACACATTCTTCAAGGTTATCATTGGAGATTTGAACGGCAAGATTGGATCAAGAAGAGCGTCTGAAGAACGTCACAATGGGATCTACGGATTAGAATGGAACGAAAAGAGTGAGCGGCTCTCTGAGTTTATCATAGCGAACAAGACAATCCATGGTAACTCGCAATTCCAGAAGCCCCAACCTCAACGGTGGACGTGGGAGTCTTTCAGTGGAGAGTACCATAACGAAATAGACCTAATAGTAAATAGAAGGTTTTGCCTAACCGATGTCGCTGTTGTCCCAAAATTCTACACGGGATCAGACCATCGTCTCCTTAGTGCAAGACCCTACTACTCGCGGAGAGGAGAAAAGGCCATTAAATTCCAAAATCGAAGTCCCAGAACCACTGTAAACTAGGACTTATTCAATTCATTAGTTGGCTGCTAAGAAGATCCCGTTGCCGATAACATCGACAATGAATAGGATCGGCTCATTCAACATCTTCACGTTAGCGCTATGAAAGCTGAGAGTTCGAAAGTTACTAAGAGATTAAGAGATCTCCAGAAGCACTCGAGCTGATACGCCAGCGTGGAATCGCACGAGCTGCAGGCAGCCGCGAACTAACGTCCGAACTTGGAAAACAATGCAGACAGGCGGTAAAAGAAGATCTTAAAGAGAGAAGAGCAGCAGCAATGGTCGAAGCTGCAGGGGCTGGGAAAAGCATTCGCGAAGCCCACCGAAGCTTCGCCGATTACAACACCAAAATGATTGCACTCTGGCGAGAGCCACGTCCACCTTCCATCGTATGAAATAAGGGAGGTTGGATATTTTGCATCACCGGTGCTCACTTCTAAAATCCGACATGCCATTTCGTCGGTCAAAAATCGAACAGCACCAGGTACGGGCAGGATAGGACCAGAACACCTGAAGAGCCTTCCGCCAGTCCTCGTGAACACACTGGCTAGGCTCTTCACACGTTACCTGTACGAATGCAAGATCCCTACTCAGTGGAAGACCAGCATGACCGTGTTATTGTCCAAGAAGGGTGACCTACACGATATCGCCAACTGTCGCCCAATCTCCTCACTCTCTGTCGTCTGCAAACTTTCCACTCGAGTCAGGTTTCGAAAGGGATTTGGTACGATGCACCACACCCACACGATAACAAGACTCACTAAGGTATCGCGAGAGTGCAAAAGACCGCTCTGTCTCACTTCAAGGTGCTGGTTAGTTTGACTTCCTCTCAGATCTCTTCTCGAAACCATGTGGAAGCACCGTAGCTCGACCTAACAATTATTTTGATAACATTTTAAGCCATCATTTCACTATTTTCCTCACTTTACAGCTACTTCGTACAAATCTGCCCATCATTGTTGCTAGCTTCGCTTATGCTACGTTCTGTAGTTGTGCGTTCGAAATACCTTTCATTAAGGTTTGTCAACAGCTCTACATTCCCATTATATTAATAGACTAATATTACAACGTTTCCAGCTTGAAGTGATACTCATCGGCAATCGACGTAGTCCAGCCATAATCTCAGTGCAAGAAAAACCCCTAGAAATTCCTGAGATGATCGACGGGGTAACAAACGTGTGATTGAAGGTCTAAACTGGTTTCCACGTTTATTAAATTGTCCAAAATATTGTTTTAATGACAACATGACTCCTAACTCTACGTTATCGTTTGAACTGTGCACAACTCTGCAAGACAGACATAGCGACACGTGATACATTAGTGATACAATGTGCACACTTCTATTGTTAGATATAATGTGCTTGGTACATTTTGCTACCCGAACAGAAAATTATCACAGACAAAGAGCACAACTGGAAAAAAGCAAACTAAAACAATCACCACGTTTCCACATCAAAAGGAGATCATAGTGGTAAAAATAACGACACTAACACCACAAATTGGAATAATGTGAGATGAGAAATCCAAACAAGAAAATCCTCTGAGCACACAATAAGAAACCTTTCTCAGCTCCAATTTCGAGGGACCTTGTAATAAAACCAGTTTATAGCGAATATTAAGCGAACTACGTTTCATGTCAAAAAATTGTCCTTAATATTAAATCTTTCACTGTTAATATACAATGTGCAAAAGCACCTGCTTACATTGAGAAGTAATGCATACACATTTTTGTCCAGAATTGGTCAGTCGGGTGGCTCAGCTCAACTATCCGCACGAATCGCTTTCAGCATGAGAGTCAAAGCCTAAAGAATAAATAATGTTTAGAGTATAACTGAATAAATAATGTCGTAGCTACATTACAATAAGCATCAATTTAAAGAAATCTAATTCAGAAAGAAGAGACGACTGTCGATTTTAGCTACCATGAACCAAGCTTCCACAAACCCAAATTCGTGTATAATGCTGAGATATTTGCAAAACTCCGGACCGCAGGTGTATGTGGTGGGGAACGAACGCGCTATTGTCCTTAGCGGGGAGTAGCGCACTTCACCACCACACCATCCGGGTCCTTCGTTTTGCCTGTCTCTCAGCCAGTTCTATTGATCTTTTGCCATCAGCAATCACCTGTCAACGGGATTGATCTGGGGGACCCAAATCGGCAACGAACCCAGTTAAGCTGAGGCTTAGTTATAATCACAATCTTAACCCTTTTATTGGGTTTGGGTGATTGCTGATGGCAAAAAATCAATAGAACTAGCTGAGAGACAGGAGAAACGAAGGACTCGTAAGGTGTAATGGTGAACGCGTTAGTCCCTGGAAAGGGTAATAACACATTCGTTCCCCACGGCAGACACCTGCGGTTCGTAGTTTTGAAAATATCTCAGCATCATAAAAGTTATATTTCGCAGTACACACCCTGCAGTTAAAAAGAGTAGGCAGTAAATAATAAGTTAAAATTGCAATCTTTTATCTGAGCACACAGGCCTCAAGCCTTATTTTAAGGCATGCCACACCATGGGATTTTCCTGACTGATTCTCTTTTTACTTGGATACTTGTGCACTTGGACGGCCCGTCCTCACTGGTTGTGCGAGCTCCAGCATATTCTCCATTCCTCGGAGTTTTGGTGGTTTAGCCACTAGGCAAAACGAAGGACCCGGATTCTGTGGTGGTGAAGTGCGCTAGTCCCCGGTAAGGACAATCGCGCGTTCGTTCCCCACCGCATACACCTGCGGTCCGGAGTTTTGTAAATATCTCAGCATTATATACGAGTTATACTTCGCAACATACCCTGCCATTAAAAAGAAAAAGGCAGTAAATTAAAGGGGTTAAAGCCGAAATTCGTCGTAGCATTTACTGTAAAACTTCAGAAACCACTAGTTATTTATGAAAAAGGAAAACTTGACTTTCTATAAAATAAACAGTAATTTGGCTAGCCAAGTATCCGTAGAGGAACAATGCTAAATTTAATGCTAGAATATGACTTTGACATATATACATATGTATATATATGTATATATATATATATATATATATATATATATATATATATATCAAACCAACTCTACAAGTCATTTTTGTTAAGTATGGATACGCATTTCATATGAACACTCTTTGCATTTTGTTGTCAAGTTTGTGCAATTTGCAACGAGGATCTGAACTTGTTCCCAAAATACTAGATTACTTTTGTTGGTAATAATGTCGCCTTTCTCGGTGAAAACTTTAAATGGAAACAAGCAATATGACAAAAGGGAGAACTAAGAATAGTTTTAATTAGACATCCAATCCACTATCTTCGTACTTAACACTTCAAAGCAGAATCCTCTTCACATTTCTACCGTAACGTTTTCGTTAACATGGAGCCCAGTGCCCCCCGTCTCCCCTATGGATAGAACCACAGTTAGTTGAATCTTTTCCATGTAAAGGATCTGAAGCCTGTTCGTATCGAGGCTACTTAAAGCGTCCATAGGTGGCGGGTAATTGTTAAACGAGGGACAAAAAAGGCCTTATACTTCCATAAAACGCAGGCGGATTCAGTCAAAGAACCCCCTGATATGTCTGCGCCGATTTGTTATTTATATTCTGTGTTTACGTAGATATTCACGCATGGCGTGGTTGGTGTGATGGTGTATATAGTTTATATTCTACATGATAGCTCATGCAAAAGCCCGCAGTCAAGTGACTGGGAAGCACCTGAGAGTAGGTTGCTTGTCTCCAAGAAATAAGCTTCACCTTCACTCCGAAACCGACCGGTAATCTATATGTGAACACATTCAACCCCTACGCCACAGCTCAGCAAGCTACCCATGGGTCTAATCGCCAAGCACAGTGAAATAGATCAGTTTCATTTTACAGCCATAATAGGAATTCGTTCGAAAGGCCAATCATGGGAAATTGGATAAAAACTGAGCATCGTCCTAGGTTGCCTAAATTAAGCACTATTTGTGAATATAACGCCGGCAAAGTAGTGTCTCATGCATATTTGAGGACATGGTGATGTAAGCTAAAAACATTAAGCACCGAAATGGAACCGTCGTGCAGAGCCTGCGACAATTAAGGAATCGACGGTGTTGGCATTCAACACGACTTTAGCCCAGAACATCAATTGCTTTGAAGCACTAATGACCCAAGTCTCATGCTTATGTTAAACCACTACCACCTTTGACAATATTCGCCGCACATCCACCAAAAAAGATGTAGATGGGTAACGAGAGCTAGAAGAATGCCTGAAGAACATAAATTCTGGGCCTACAAATTAAAGCAGAATATACAACCATAAACAGTCAGAGATTAAGGTCCGAACTTGAGAGCCACTGCAGAAAGGCAGAACAGAGTTTGAATGGAAGAACAGTAGCAACAGCAGAAGCTATAAACGTTGGAAGAGACACTTGTAAAGGCCACTGAAACGATACCCAGACGGAACGGTTATGGCCACGACTACTGATCTCTTTAGCAGTCACGTCCTCTTGCTCTCCATGAAAATAAGGAGAACAAATATGTCGTCCCACTGGTTCTCTCTTACGAAATCCGACACTATATCTTGTCGGTGAAGAAACGACCAACATAGCACCTTGTCTAAATGTCTGAAACGACAAAACTAGAACTAGAATATCTGAAGAACCTTCTACTAGTCCTCATCAATAGATTAGCATCCTCTTCAAAAGTTACTTGCCAAACCGAAGGTTACCCAAACAACAGAAGATTAGCAACAATTTGTCGCTGCACAAAAAGGGAAACTTCTATGACAATGGCAACTAACGCCCAATTTGTCTGCTGTCCGTCGTCTACAAACTCTTCACTCTAATTATCCTCAACAGCAATTTTTGAACAATGATCATGTGATAGCACAGTGAGCAAGCAGGGTTTTGAGGATTCAGTACAGTAGACAACATCCACACGATAAAGAGGCTAATTGAACTATGCCAAGAGTAGAAGAGACCGCTCTGTCCCATTTCCACATCTACATCTAGCACATTATTACTCAGTACACATTCTTCGCAAGCTGCATAGAATTTTCACAACCGTGATGCCATCTAGAATTGTATTAGCATCGACTTAAGGTTCGACAAGGCGACAACATCTAGCCAATTTTAACCACAGCCACTGTAGAAAACGCTGTAAAAAAAAACTGAAATGTTACGTCATGGGAGTGAGAACCAATGGTAAAAGACAACCACCTTTGCTTTCTTGATACTGTTTCATAACATCAAACATTAGCACATTGCAAGGAATGTTAGACGACTTATGCAGACTGTCACATACTTATACAACACCTGTTGAAAGGTTGGTTTTCGATAAAATCTCAAGAGGACTATGTTCATGAGGAACCGATTTGTTCTTGATTTTTTTCACGCTAAAAGCGATGAAGGTTTAGAAATGTTCGGAACACGATGACGATGGTTGTGATCGCAAACAAAGTGAACGACTCAACTTTAGAAACGAGCAGGAGCAAAGGATGAGCTTCGAGAGATTTCAACAGCATCGAAGACGTAGTGAACGGAATGAGGAACACCTAAAAATTCTTCTTGTCTTTGACGTCCACAAGGAAAAGCTGATCGATACAAACGCTATTGAACACGCGTTTGAAAGGGTAACTCCTAGAGTATTTTCAATCACACAGGTAAATGAAGGAATTCGAAACCCCAACATATGTCGGAAATCAAAAACCACATCGTTCTGCACGTGAAAATGTCGAAAACTAGGCTGGTGGTACATGCGACACGTCACTGGAATTTGAAAAAAAGACGGAAACCAGTCTTTTGCACGGATCTAAACCAGCATGTGAAACCACGAAAACAGTTAGCCACATTGTTTCGCTTAACCAGAAAACCGCTGACGAACGTATGGTACAGCATTAACCTAGAAAGCTCCGTGACGGTGGTGACAGCCTCAATGATGAGGAAGCTGAGGGACAGCTACCATCATTTGAATAAAAACATGTCAATAAACGCACGATGTTGCAGCTAAAGCAGAAATACGGGTGAGAATACAACTTTGGAGGATATTAGATGAATTAGAAAACGGAAAAAAGAATAGTAGCAAATTTGTGTTACAGGAATCAAGCAAAAAGAACAACCTGCCATGATTATGACTTTGTTTACCACCTTTCTAGTGGAGTAAAATGCTCCGCTTCTTGACCAAACTATAAAAGCACTAAAAATTCATGTATACGAGAAAGCACCACGTTTTGCACAGTGATAGGACAGAACTAAAGCACTGAAATACATCTCGACACCAAAATTGCATCAAAGAGTGACATCAACTTTTTTGGACCCAGCACATGGAATTCTCCTCTAAAACTTGAACTCTCCTGGGAGCAGCAGAGCAGAAACGCGTTGCCAAGGAATCGAAGAAGACTTGCTATGAACAGTGCTTGCTATCTACACTGATCAATCAGAAGCGACAAAGATCATCGACTCACAACGAAAACTGAAAAAAAAATGGGGTATGAAACCTTGATTAACATGGCATAACCACTGGAGCTGTAACCTATCGACTAATATTTATTTCAAACAACTAGAAATTTTTTTTGTGAAAAAAATCGTTCGTAGTATCCAGAAACCTACTATCTAAGGGCGAGAAACCTGTGGCTTACCTACAAAGATTCCAGTGATCCCCCGATTAAAGAGGTTCAACATGAGGTAAGATACGTGCACGGTCGCTCGCATCAGGCAGTGGTAATGACGGCTTTTAGCATGCGCACGGTATTGGTTCCACCTTCGCCTCCTCACCACCAACATTTGATTCCATCCTTGAGGGGTTAGAGGATTGGTACCAGACTTGCCCACGAACGGTTCACTCCATTCAATTCACGTATGAACGCTCTAGCACGGCTATCCCAAGACTGCAGGCAAAATCGACTGGACCAACATTCATTCACATTCACAACGAAAACAAAAACCCTCAACCACCAACTGAACCCATAAACCCATACGCAAAAGATCGACCGTGTCAATGGATGATGGAAGGTAGGAAACGAATCAAATACGAGAAGTGCTGGGATCTGCACACCAGATGTGAAAATGAGCCATGTAAAAGAAGAAACACGCCTTTTAAATCAAAGATTGAAAATCAACATCACATGTTGAATGACTTAATACTTCGTACATTAGTGGAAAGCCGGAAATCTGCTCTTGGTTCAAGGAAGACCAAATTCAATAATTACATACAAAGGCACCTTAAGATAGGGAATGTACTCTGCAAGAAGAAAAGCATATAAGTGAGTAGTTTCGATGACTAAACCATAATGACTCATATCATCAAAATAGCCCACGTACCCTTTTCGTATGGCTGTGTAAAGACTTCCGTTCTCTTGACAGTCATAATATCCGGCCAGTGTTGGTCTCGTCGACCGAAGAGAAATGCATCACCACATTTTTCGCATTCTGGTGTAGTAACTTCTTTCTGCGGATCGCTCACGAGGTATACGTGTACACATTCAGGATCAACTTCCAATGTCCTCAAAACTCGCAGTGCAATCTAAATTAAAGTAAAATAGTACCATGTGTAGACAACCTCTACACTAAGACGAATTTAAGCAGAACACACCAGGTGAATTGCCATTCGACGATGGAAGACACGTGGAAATAAACGAACGTGATATTGCCGATCTGCGCTTTCAATAGCAACAAGGATCTTGGAGCGAATCTAAACTACATCGAACACTTATTATTTGCCAACCAATTTGAGCGATCTAATTAAGAGTGAATACAACTTCTCAGAAATATTTTTCTTCTTCAAAGTTATTTAGAAATAAGCTTTTTAATGAAACTGAGAACCAAAGTTGAAGCACTGGAATTTCTGACACGAAAGCAGCTGTAAACATAAAAAAAAGGACAACGCGATATCTCGGCTGCATAAAATTAGGCCATCACAGATGTAAGAAAAGAAGCATTGTGGATTGTTGACAGGAATCTGGATATTTCAACGACTTTTCTTTCAATTTATAAAATTCACTATGAGGTGAACTATGTTTGTTAAGAGCAGAAAGTGGCCGCTACTTTCAGCATAAAGGATAAAGGGTAAAGCACTACACAAAAGATGAAGCTCATGCGCAAGCATTCGATTTCGTCGAGCTTCGTCAGAGGTAATTGAATGCATATTTGGCCTACACATTCACTCACGATGACCTACTGATGTATCGTCTCAGTGCTGTTAAGCTCCCAGACAGGTCTGCTATCAATATGCCGAACCCGGAGAGATAGGTTTGGTGAACCTGGGTTCCGGAATCGAACCCATGTCTATTGCAGGGCACGTCTAACCACTGGGCTACACGCGCCCATTTCACAATGCAGAAAGTAATGAAACAGAGCCGAATAGGAAACCATGGAAATCGAAAACGATTAATGAATGAGTATTGTGATCCATAAAGTATAGTAGCACATTTACCTCATGAAAGTTCTCTTCACACAACAAATCGGGCCACAGATTACTGATTACCACTTGAAAAGTACAACTGGCAGTTGAAGGCGGATGAGAGATGCCAACCTCATGGCGCTCGCCCATATTGCGCAAGTGCTCCTTCGTAATCTGAAACTAACATTTTAAAGCAACAATGTGAATCGTTCTCACCTCTTCAGAGATGGTTCCGTTAATCATTACTGGTGAAATTGATTGTAATCGGTCGCAACATAACAGTTGAAAATAATAACATGACTATGTGAAAACTACACACGAGCACTCTTAGATGAGAATAAGCAGCTTAGAGAGGTAGAGTGTGTTTTTGACGTTTCAGAGTCGAACTAAAAAAAATAAACAGCAAAATCTACAAACGAAAAAAAAATAGAAAATCAAAAAAAGACAAATGTGGAGAAAGTCTGGGCTTGAAGTGGGCCACAACTCACACAAGCTTTAAACTCACTACACATTGCTAAAAATGTATTCATCAGCTGTTCAGTAGTACAACAGCGCACGCAGTGCATAGAACCGACCTTGTAATATGGAACGTAGTAGCGAGGTCCCGGTGCATCTTGCTCGGGTCGGAACCAATGAATATCAGGATTGATTTCGGATGTCGACGGACAAAGAAGGTCTGACCGCAACGGGGCTCGTTCAAGGATTCCTCGACAGTACGCAGCATTAAGACTCTGTAATTGATCGAAATAAACCAACAGGAGGTCGAAACGGGTATTAGCAACCGTATTCTAAGAAATACCCAAATAGTACAACGAAAACGACAACCTGATGAAAAGGCGGCAACACATAATCGATTCGAAGATGTGAAGCTATCGGAGCAAGAATCGCTCGCAATTCTGCTTCACAGAGATCACCTCTTTTCACACCACGTCGACTGATTGAATGTGTTGTATCAGCCACAACGTTAGGTTCCCTTTCCTGAAATTACGGATAAACACCATTACTTGTTTGGAGTGCAACACTAAAAATATCAACACAATACTGTTACCTCCATTCGACGCAGTAATTCGTGTTCTCCCCATCGAACGACCGCCTCGAGAATTTCAACTTCAGTTGCCTGGAAACGGTATCCATACGCTATAACGCAGAAACACTCCAACTCCTCCAGGAACTTACTTATTAATCAAACAACGCTTAAAGAGCCTTGAATAATGAAGTTAAAGTTCTAATGCCCTCGACAAAAAAAAATTTCAATTTCACGCGTACTTAACAACTAGAAGAATACAACACACACTTCTTTAAAATAATATAATGAATCATCCCAACGGGTTACCTCGTCATCGTGGCTGGGAGGTGTTCCTGGACGTACAGCACAGCGGGGGGATTCACGCCTCCGGCTGGGTCTCCCAAGCTGAGGACTCCAGCGTTTCCATTAGGATGCAAAGCTAAGAGTAAACCAATACCAAGATCCACCACTGTCCTAGTATCAAACTGCTCGCATTGTGACAACTCTCTTTCTGATACACAAGAGCTGCGACTGTCTGTAGAGGTGACGACCTGGGGCAGACTTTGGTTAGGCTGACCTCGGGGCTGTGTTAGTTGGCCAGTGGATTAGGGAGTTGGTCGATTTGGTCTTTTGTCCGCCAACTGTACGTGTAATGCTCGACTTTGTATGAATTCGCCACGCGGGACTTTTTTCCGTAACTGTCTTGAACAACTTCGAGTTTGGATATAGCAGTTTATAGCATCAATAACGATACAATAATAATGTGCGATATTTGACGATATGTAAGCTAGGTGGATAAGAGCGGGATTGAAATGGGAACAAGTGATACACTTGAAGGAAGCAAGGTGGACACTGGAGTTGGAGCACTGAGGAAATGAGGAACCGGAAGAAGACCGGACGAATTCGGCTAACACTTCAGGACGAGTGCCTATGGGCTGCTCGTATTGCTTCTGTAGTGGGTGGAGCTTTGCCAGAGAGAACTAAAGATAGCTCCCAGAGAGAGGTTCTAAAAGTTTTTCTACTAGCACAACTTGATAGGGCTACATGTGGAAGGCTGCAGGTGTTTGTTCAGAAACTTTTTGAGACGACAGATGCTGAAAAGTACATTCAACCGACTACTGCTGATTCCCTTTCCAGCCACCTGCGAGGCAATTGCATGAAATGCTTGCTAAGAGACGATTTACAGAATGTGCAAGAATAGATGTATGACGATTACAGATAGACAGGTGTTGTAGAAGACATAAGGTGACATAGAAATAGGAACTATTTAAGAATAGTTACTATAGGGGCTCCAGGAAACCACAACAGTTAAACCAGCAAAACTCCGAAAAAATGGAGATTATGCTGAGCCTACAGAACCAGTGAGGAGGGGCCATCCAAGTATCCAAGTAATATTATGAAATAACACCAAATACCGCGTTTGGAATCAACGAAACGATATTGAGAGAGAGAGAGAAAGAGAGAGCAGCAGTGCTGCTTTCCCAAATAAATCCCCCTTTCTATATCTTCCATAGCGGATTTGAAAAAAAAAACTAATTAACATTAAACCGCGTTGAAAAGCTCTCGACAAACCTGGGTGAATTGGCTTTGCACACATTTCACTAAGCTTTCCAAAGTAATGTCAAATAAACAGTGGGAAGTCGCGATGTGGGAGAATTCAGCCTCTAAGTAACTGGAAAAAACTGCTTGTTATTTTTAAATTTTCTCCAATGTTAGAGTATGATAGACTTGATTAGTCTAAATAGAATTTAATAAATGGATAAAAAGATAAGCGCAAACCTTTGGGCACAGTGTGCAACATAATCAGAACCGCCATCAGCAGCCCAAGTAAGGATTGATACGCAACTTTCCTGACACAGAGAAGAAACGACAACATCCTCGCACACTGAAGTATAACGGTCAATTAATGGGGAAGTCAACAACTTTCATGTTGGTTACTCTTGTACTCACATTGCACAAGTTTATCAAGAGAAAAAAATTTTGCGATGTGAATAAGTTGAATCGCTCTATGAAGAGACGAATGAGGACTTCGACCAGCTACAATGGCACGGGCTTCAGAGAGCGACGACTGTGAAATCGATGTATCGCATATCTAAAGTGATGAAGTTACCAAAGTAAATAAATCATGTATACATGTATATACATGCATATATCGTATATACGTACATGCACATATGTTTATATGTAGGTATGTATGCACATATACACGTATATATGTATATATATATACTCATGTAAACATATGTGAGTATACATACGGCATTTATAAGAAACGTGTCAGTCTAAATTTAACTAGAACTCGAATGAACTCCCAAGGGGGTGGGGTGGAGTAGGAGATGGGTTAGAGCAACGTTTATGATAGCGATCGTTACGGGCACGGTGCTGCTCCGTACCCCGTACCGGGCCCACCAAGTTTCTCATCCCTGCAGGGTCAGGAACTTGGTATTAGATTTGTCTGGAAACAGTCCACATTCTACAATCCAAATGGGAACGCTCTAGCTTTGGCTGTCCTAAGACTTGGGAAACAATAAACTCGACAAGCACTAAGTGGCATTCACAATGAAGATAAAACCGGGAAGAAGCAAGACCCATACTTGCAAGGATCAAAAACCGCGGATAGCACCAAACCAATCGAAGGTAAGAAGTGGTACAGGATTCGTATAATAAATGGCGAAAAACGGGTTATGTGAGAACAAAAAACCTCCCAATGCGTATGCGTGAAAGAATGCACTGTAGTCGCTCACAAAATCGAAGACAAACCATGGAGAAATCCAGTTCATCAGTGTATAGAAAATGCATGACAACAGGGGCGAAACCACGTGGAAGCAGAGCTTCATCAAGAACAATTTGATTTGTGTTGCCAAAATGTTTGACGAGCCTTTGAAAGACCGCACTTCTAGCCGACACGATGGTAGAGTCACATCGAATACTGTAGTCAGGTAGGTGCGCTAAAAAAACGATGCAGTACTCTTTTGAAGTAGTCCTGTAAAAATTTAAATAGAATTTAAACTTCTTTTGCAATACTGGAAGCAGAGATAAAAACAAAACTTTGCTTTGAAAGCTAGAAAACCGGTTATTCAAGAACATACATTTGATTGACACGTCGCTCAATGCAACTGCTGAGGTTAATGCAATTGTTAAATCTCCGTCTTGAAGGGCATTATCTTTAGCCTTTTTTAAGCTGGTCAACAAGTTTTGCCGACATCCAAACCAATCACGAAAACACTCCAGAACATCGACACCACCATCCCATTGATCGGTATATAAATATCGAATGAATGAGCTGAAAGAGTCTAAATAAAACTTGGATAAAACTAGATAAATCTACTTAGAGTGATTAAAAGGCTATACAAATAGTCCAAGCTATATCATCATTCGGAACACCGAAAACAGAATCATCTGGAACCTACTGCAAAAAATAAAACACAATGACCTGCAACCCACCACACTTCTTGATAACTGAAATGCGTTCCGTAAGGAAATGACACGTTCAATTCAGTAATCGAATTATCTGCTAGCAAGTCTTTCATGAAATCACAACGGGAAACAAATAGGCGACGATGAACAGGATACGAAACACCCTTAGAAGCGTAAATTATTCATGAGAACATGGCGGAGTACATGATACATGGAAAAGAGGCTGTACTTACATCAATCTTAAGTATGAAATCCTTGTTGGTACTTGCTAATAGTTGTTCTCCAAGATTTGGAACCGACGGTCTTGCTGAATCTGCTTCTTTTTGTAGCACAGACAGGATCCTCGATGTTTCAAGTTCCTATGAAAAGGAAGAGATAATGAAACGCGTTGTACTTGGCTTCGGCTTGAGGATTTTTGCCGTCGTTGCGAATGTTGTTATATGTATGTGGCAACAAAAACCATAAGACACAACCATAATAACGTTGAGATATTTGCAAAACTTCGAACCGCACGTGTATGCGGTGGGGAATGGACGCACTTTTACCGTTTCCGAGGGCTAACGCGTTCACCACCACACCATGCGGGTCTTTCGTTTCTAATCATAAGATAAATGATACACTATTCAAGCGTCGTATATGCACCATATAATGCGCTTATCCCACAAAGTTAGTCGCTGAATTCTAAGCTTTAATGATATAAGAAGCAGTGTTAACACGTGGAATGAACGCTAATTTTGCTTGGTGTTGTTGTAGACAGCAAGCATCGAAAAAAAAACTACAAAATAAATATTCAGTATACCTAAGAACAAGAAAAGAAAAAAGCTATTAAAAACAAAGAGAAAACAAACACAGTTCATTCACCTTGTATAGGGTCTCTACATCGTAGATAGATAAGGTAGATATGAGGTCTTGAAATGATTTCACTTTATCACGACTGCCACTTTTACGCTAAAGATAAAACTAGATTAATGCAGCCACAACGTTGAAAAACTCAAAAACATCTAGATACGACATACATGCTATCTACGATAGTGATCAGTGATAGTGATGCCGCCCTATCACGAGCGCAGTGCTCATTTGACCCTCTCGACCTTACCAAGTCTCTCATCCCTCTGGGTTCGGAAATTGGTGCCAGACTTGTCTGGGATCAGCGTATTCCTTCTAATCCCCGTAGGAAAGCTCTAGCACGGTTATTCCAGGGCTCGAGGGAGAATCGACTCGATCAGCATTTAGTTACATTCCTAAATATGACGAAAAACCCTAAGCAGTTGCTAAATTAACATTATATATGTACAAAATATACTGAATGGTTTAGAGCGTCGCAATGTTAAGGAAATGTTTTTCGTAACCGAACTGCGATGTACGGTAACACCCAGACAAGATCGGCAACTCAAGACTGGATAAGAGTTAATATATGCCATGGCTGAGCCTCACGAACTGCACGTGGGCCGTGGGCACTTTGTCAAGAACAGTGGAACTAAAGAGAATCATTCCAGATGTGTAGCCACTTGTTCGTTGAACAAGCAAAGGTCACTGGGATAAGGCACGTGACAAGGACGAATGAAGACTCTACTGGTAGGTGATCGAGTTCACTAATGGGGATAAAAATGATTATACATACATTCACAAGGTACTACGGTTATGATTTAAAAAAGTACAAACCTTAAAGTTAAATGGTAACTTCGATAAATGCTTTGACGACGAGTGTGCCACTGAAGCAAATTTACTTCTCGTCGTGGGTGCCCTCTGCTCAGCTGTCGGCTTTAGATGATCTAAATCCGCCAACGAGTGGCTTTTCATCCAAGGAGAGGACGAGCTTCCACCCATATGTTCCGATTCTCGCACTAAATCCACTCGTGTTATGTTAACATTGTTATAACAGCTGCGATGACGTGAGTACCAAGAACGGCAAAAAACTTACTAGTCTATAACAGTAGCAATTACAACAATAACAGTAACCAATAATATTTATGGCGGGACAGCGCAGTGGTTAGTGATGCCGCCTATCAGGAAGCAAAAGCTCCAGTTCAATCCTGGCCGGACGCTGTTCTCTTATCCATGAGGGAACGCCTCAGCACGCCTGTCTCCATTCCACGATGGTTATCGAACATTTCCACCTGTACTTGGCTTCCGCTTGAGGATTTTTGCCGTCGCTGCGAATGTTGTTATATGTATGTGGCAAGTCTATTCTCTCTCGAGTCTTGTAATAGCCGTGCAAGTGCGTTCCCACGTGAACTGGACGGAATGAACTGCTGCCAAAATCTAGTACCAATCTCACTACCACTTATGGAAGAGGCTTGTCGAATGCGGTGCGGGATCGAACTAGAACCGCTCTCGTGATGAACGGTAACATTACCACTTCGCTAGCTGTCCCACTGAGTAGTTATTAACAATAGTAATTCATGAGATGGAAACCAAAACGACAACATGTCATCAGAATTAAGACTGTAGCTCGTGAAGAACCTCGCGTATAGTCATCATTCCAAGAAATCTTACTGAATAAATTTTAGTAACTACCGATTACTTGTCTGTTCTGTACGCTACATGTTGTGCTTCTGACGATTATTCACAACTATGAGGGAAAGAAGAGAATGAAAAGTTTGGGTACCGCAAAAGTCGTCAACATGGACCAACCAAATGTCTATTATAGAGCTTAAACTGAACAAGGTAACCTAACAGACATAGAGGACGTTAAATTCACCCGTAAGATAAGCATCTATTACAATCTCTAAGGCGCCCTATAGATTACATAGAAGGTAATTTTTCATATTCTTGTTGAGCAAGCGCGAGGTGTTACTTTTATTCTTTAATCACGAATAAGCTGACGTTTCGGCGGATTTCGCCTTCCTCAGAGCCTGGAAAGGTCAAGTTGACAGTCGGCCTATTCGTCTATTCGGCCAAACACCTCCATAACCAAACAAAGAAACTCTAAACCAAGATTTCAATCACACAGAATAGCTTCTTTGCACGCTCACCGCTTTCTATGAGGCCTCCACTGAGTATGTCGCGTGAAGACCAACCGCACAGAATTCACATGGAAGCGTAATGTGCCCCTCCCAGCAGAATAAGTCTTATATACTGCCCAATATCACGCGTGATAATAAGGCATTCTTCCCTGCGGTTCATTTTTAGATTTCTGGAATTAATCCAGAACGCCTTGAGAGTTTTACGCGCACAAGAATCGAGAACAAGGTAATTGGACTAACAACTGTTACTTTTATATACATATTCTTACGAAATCCCCCTTTTAGCTGATGCGAGGTAGGCATGAATGTTCTTATTGTTGTTGTTGTCGCTGTTTAATGGCGAACGTTTCGGCGATTTCACCTTCCTCGGGGCAATAGGACGGCTCTCAGGAACGCGAAGTCGCCGAAACGTCAGCCTTTGAACAAAGACGACAACAACAATAGGTACATCTACATCAACTTCGCATGTACTCAAAAAGGGCAGTTCATAAGAACCGAGGTTTACAGATAGTGGATCTTTCGACTCGACCGTTACTTCGCTTTAAGCACTTTGGTTATGGAATGCGCGGATTACAAAACACTAAACTAAGCCCAACACAGGCTACAAAATACTTTCAAGCGCTGAGCGTAATTCATTTGCAATATGAACCATAGCGACATAAAGCAAGCAGTACCATACCAATTCCCATTAATACCCATATTTCGATACAACAAAGTTTCAAAAACCACAATGATGCCGAGACATTTGCAAAACTCCGGACTACAGGTGTTGGTGGTGGGGATAAAACGCGCTATTACCCTTCTCGGGGTCTACCACGTTCACCACCGCACCACTCGGGTCCCTTCTCTTTAAAAATATAATTTTTTTATTACCCAAAAAACCAGAAGGTCCGCAGCAGAAAAAATTTCTAGTACTCTACCCAGGGAGTCAACGACGGTAAGCGGCACGCATCTGTCATCGGTTAAAAAGACGAAGAACGTTAAATTGATAAGTTGCTGCTCAGTACTATAATAAATCCTTGAATAAATACTTCAATCTAAGGAAAAAGGATGCACATGAAATCGCGGCTAACGGAAAAAGCTCAAATTTTCCTAAAAAGCTAGCCATGTTGGAATTCCACTGAATACAAATTGAGCACCTTCACATACCCGATTCTGGGTTGCACTGTGAAATCCACGGCTCTCAGTTCTTTTGTAATAGATAGAAACGTACAAGGTACATCACGAATTGACGGCGCGCCAAAACCGTCACAGCGCTAGTACACCGCCGCGACGCGACCTGCTCGCGGCGCGGTTTCGATTCATTAAAGGACCGATTCCAGCAATGTCCACGTCTTCAGCTTCTGATTCCACATGCGCTCCCAGAATCTACTGGCTCTCGGGGACCGGAGTACTCGAGTAGCTCAGGAAGTGACCACCAAAGTTGCTTCGCAGGAAATCTTCATATGTCCTCATGCTAGACATTTCATTCACATTTTCGTTATAGGACCATCATTCCCGTATAGGTATACGGTACACTCACGTGGAATCTGCGTTGTTCGTGTGACTGGAGCATGAACAATATCGATCGTCCAGCTATGGCAATGTCATCGTTTGTTCTTTAGAAGTACTGCTTGCTGGGCCTACCTTATGGGATTGATAGGACCTTGTAAGCGATAGAATGTGAAATTCTATCGATCTTGTGTTGTCCGACTCGTGTTTGAAAGCATTAGGTCAAGAAATCTCGCTAAATCATTCTACAACGGAGGTTTCGGATAACTCCGATATTTTTTATCATTTCGATTGAATTATGATTTCATTTTTCGTCTCTTTTAAAAGAGTTCGATCGATATTCTCTAAATTGTCCATGATAATCTTGTTCGGATCCCTTTAAATGTATAAGCTTCATTATTCTAGGGTTTTCGCGACCACGCAGAGTAATAAAGGAGGATGGCGGCTATGAATCCCGAATAGTACGTTTGTCGAGCATTTTTGTTATTTTGAAAACCGACTTTCCTTTTACCTCGATGTGTCTAATCAATGTGTATTCCTTCTTTGGTACACTTGCACAAGGTTGATAAATAGCCTTTGTTTTCGACTAAAGTTTCGACGTCTTCGCCTTCATCAGAGCCGATGATCCGTGTCAGTGATCTGATGAAGATGTAAGCCTCGTGCAAGCTTATCAGAGAAAGAATACGTTTCTGTTAACTATTCCTTAAGAACCGAGCAAAGCCCTGATCGGCTTGATAACGTCTAGACGAGAGGCACGGCAGAAGTGGATGATAGGTTCACGACTGCTCAACAAATCACGATTTCTTGTCGATGTTATACTGTTCATGGGGTGTATTTGTAAGCGTTAAGAAGTCTTAACTGGACAGTGTAGGCCCTTATTTTAAGGAACATAAATCTTCCCAATATGGCTGCCACTTAGGGTATGAGGTCGTAAGCTCCTATGGAGATAATGCGACGGGATGTAGACTGTTTCGAAGAGGAGTGTAGACTAAGGACTTTGTTTTCTTCCCATATTGTTTTTGCAATGAGACGTCCAACTACTTCACATAATATTTTTCGTTTTTTATAGCGACTACCTCTTTAAACTTCTTCTTATTGGTGACTCGGGCGTGGGAAAATCTTGTCTTCTTCTTCGATTTGCCGATGATACCTACACAGAGTCTTACATCTCTACTATTGGAGTTGATTTCGTAAGTTTTTTGTATATGTATACACAAATATGTATGGCATACAAATGTTTGTATCTGTTACGTAACGCGCGTACAAGCATAGTCCCGCAAAACACATAGGATCGATCAGCTCACCCCAGACTCACTAAGCAACTCCGAGGTCGGCAACTTGGTACCCGGCTTGTCTGGGAGGACAACAGCACCGACTCGATACATCGATGTATGCATTCTATCACCTCTAAAATTGCTACAAATGAAGTAAAATGCATAGCGCATCCCTCATGGATTGATCAACGCCGGGAGCTTTGTCCTATCTTTTGTGCACATATACATGTACTCATATATACAAAGATACATTCACATTATCTCTGTGCTCATCTATACATACACGTACATATGTAGTTTCTATGTATGCACGCATGAATCTATTTGTATGTGTAAAGGTATATATGTACAGATACAACGCATGTACATGGGTGTATATCCAATTGTTTGTATATGTCTGAATCAGTTGAACTACTATATTGTGTCTTTGTTAAATTTTAAATAGTTCTATATTCAGAAAATCCGTACTATCGAGTTGGATGGTAAAACAATCAAACTGCAAATCGTGAGTTGATATAACCGTATAACAGTTTCTTAATTTGTATCTCATGACTTTCGTCGTAGTCTTATTTCCAACTTCCTAAATTCTACATTCTATATCTACATTACTTTACATTGCGAATGAATCTACGTACCAACTGCTTTCCTTTGTAGTGGGATACAGCGGGTCAGGAGCGTTTTCGTACAATCACTTCCAGTTATTATCGAGGTGCACATGGAATAATTGTCGTCTACGATATCACTGATCAAGTAAGGCTACTTTCAGATTCGGTTTTTCTTTTCCGATCTTATCTTTTTGTCTCAGTTTTGAGCTTTCTTTATCTTCATCTTAGTTTAGAGTGTTCCCCATGTTGTTGTTAAACAATCGTTTTTGACAAAATGCGAAAAGACAACGTTTTAAGGAGTCGTTCAACAATGTCAAGCAGTGGTTGCAAGAAATCGACCGATATGCCTGTGAAAATGTGAACAAGTTGCTTGTTGGAAATAAGTGCGACCTAACCGCAAAGCGGGCTGTTGAAATTCAAGCTGCAAAGGTGAGCTCAGTATGATTTCTACTGTTCTGAAGAGACAAAGGTATATCGAAGTATCTTAATAGTCGGGTAACAAAATTTTATAGAAGTTGTATTTCGCAACATACTCTGCCGTTAAAAAGAATAGGCAGTAAATAAAAAGGTTAAAATTGTGAAGTATTGTAAGTTTTTCAGTGAAGATTGGGTGCATGTAGCGCAGTGGTCGGAGGCCCACTGCAATACACATCGTGTCGATCACCGCGAGCAAGGCTCACCAAGACTTCCATCCCTCCTAGGTCGGCAAATTGGTAATGGGCCTGTCTGGGAGGATAGCAGCGCTGGTTCGAAACATCGGTAGGCCACAGCGACGCATTGTAAAGGCCAGCCATGCATTCGGTCACCTCCAACGATGCTTAATAAAGTCGAATACATGGCGCTACCTCAGGGATTGATCAATTCCTAAACCTTTAACCTTTATTAGTGAAAAATAAGACAAGTGGTGTGATTGTTACAAATGTGCTGGAAAAAAAATATCGATGGAAATAGTAATTCGTCGGATAGATTGTATTCGTCATGAGTCCTAGACCTTCTTTTCGTCACTCGTTGGGTCGAGTCGTTCAGATACTGAATAAGTGAGATGAACTTCTGGATGGGTTTTGAAGCCGGCATATTTCCACTCGTGCTCTCCTATACTTAGTCACCTGTTTCATAATTGTTGCATGACTCTGCGTTTACAATGGTAACGAAAGATCCGGTATAATCCATCTTTGTTACCCCGTAACCATGTCGTTAGTGCTCTGCAGACATGGTTACGTCATTTACGGGCATGCTTGCTCTAGGTGTTTCCTGTGCTGAATGTGCTCTTTGTTGCCGATCTTCTCGTCGTTTGGCCGGCTCTTCAAGACTTAATTTATTTTTTGGACGTGTGAACTACATAGCCGGGTATAATGCTGCGTGCGTGATTGATTCAAGGAGGCCTCATCCATGCACTCTGTGCTTGCAACGCAGCTATGGCCATATTAACCGAAATCTTCGGGAACTTTTAAGCTAGCGGCTTTTCTGAACGTTGCCCATGCCACTCTTCTTTGCAGTTTGTTTTTCATGTCATTGACATTGTTCGTTGTGCATAATAACTAGCCATAAGATTTGCTCCCTCGGATCGGGAAACTGTGCCTATCGATTTCTTCTTCATCACAACATAGATTCTTCATTGGTTTTCTGGATTAATTCCATTCCTATCTTTCCCTTCCGTTGTTCAAACTGGGCTGCTGTTAACGTCTTTAAATAGGAAACAACTAATCTCCTAAAAATTTCCGCATCTTTTGCAAAGAAGCTTAGAGAAAATGATGACGTTGCACTTTTTCCACTTTATGCGTCTATGTAACACAACGAATCTCGGCCGTGGCCGAAATGTGTACGCTGGTGAGCAGTTTTTCCTGTACGTTTCCGGGAAGTTTGGTAACTGTTAAATCGTCCTCAAAGTGTGTTGGTATTAAGTAGAATATTGTTTTTTGAAGTAGATAAATGTGTTGTATGTATGTGTATGTGCATTTATATATACATTACATATACTTTTATATATGTATATATATATATATATATATATATAAACAGAACTTTTTTCTTCTGGAAGCTCTTTTCTCAAGACACTTTTCCAGAGAGACTTCTTTTAGGAATACGCAGACCAACTTGGGATTCCATTTCTCGAGACTTCTGCTAAGTCTTCAACAAATGTGGAACAGGTGAGTAGTGTTGTTGGCGCAAGAGATAGCCGCACCGCTTTTTTACTGTATGCCATTTACTTAGTTGAAGATTTATTACGCAACTCCTGAAGGATTATTGCGCAGTTAGGTAAATAACGTTATCCTAGAAAAAAAGGCCTTGCACAACCTGCTATGATGGATATTTTTCGGTATAAATTAAGTTTTGGTATATATATGGTAGGTTGGCTACTATAAAGATTATTCTGTGCTGTCTTCATTTTCCAGATTTGTTTCGCTTGAGAGTTATTTCTTTTTTATCTATTATAAATGGTCCATATTTAAATCTACTGCGCGGATCCCAATATTTCACGCATTCCCTTCGTTTCCTGGCTACTACTATCCACTAAGGTCTGTCAACTTTTGCATGTGGGTTCGGGTGCTGCTTGAGGATTTCCTTTTCGTGATGAGTGTTGTTGAATGCTTTTCGAGTCGATCTTTTCTCAAGTCCTGCGATAACTGTTCCAGAGCGTTCCTGCCCGGATTTTAGGGCGTGACTTGGGGTCAGACATGTCTGGCACCGACGACTTACTGGCCCTGCTTAAATATGAGACGCTTCGTGAGTCCGAGGTGTGGTCGAATCAGCGCCGTGCCCGTGATGAATGGCGTCGATACCACTGCGTTGTCTGCTACCCGTTGTTGTTTCTGCGTTCCAAAAATATGATTTGTACTTTTTCTAGAACCTTCATTATGGCATTACGCCAGAAAATTGTATACGTTGTTCTCCATCTACTGGTTTCGTGTGTGCTATATAAATTTTCAGCATTGAAATTTTTGGCGTCCAGCATTCCAATTTTTGAGTAGTGCACTTACATACAAACCATATACATTTTATCATTTTTAACCACTTCCTTTATTTAGGCTTTCTTGACAATGGCATCTGAGATTAAGTCTCGTATGGGCCCAGTCCAAGGAACTGGTGGAGCTCCAGCAGTTCGTATCACGGGATCACAGCCAGTGCAGGACAAGAAAAGTGGTGGATGTTGTTGAATGGAATTTTGGATAAGAGTATAGAAATCGAAAATTTTCTCTTCCTCCTTTTGCACCCATTCTTCCAGCTAGATTAATTTTACCACGGTTGACGTTCATTTCTGTCGTCGAAAATTCGCTTTCTAATTTATTCTTTTAATCTTATGCTAGAGAATCATGATGCTCTATCGCAGGTAGTGGAAATTTGATTCATTTATATGTTACCATTCATTTTTTTTTCTTTTGTCCAGCTAGCTGTGAGTCAAAATTTTCGGCCGCTCTACTATAGAAACGCCATTTTCAAACAGCTAATTGAGTTCCACACCTTTCGTTCGTTGTATTCATTTTCCTAAATATAGTCGTATTGATATATTTACAGCCCGTTTTATCGACCTGTTGTTCATTGAAATGTGATTTGTGATGGTGGTCCGAGGAATAATGAGCGTTGTGTTATGCTTTTTGCGTGTGAGCTTTTGCCCTCGAAATTAACCCTTTTTCCTTAAATAAAGTAATAACGGAGATTCTTCCCTTTTTAAATCTCTGTATTTCGTATTTTATTATCTAAACAGTTACAACAATTTGGTGAATGGAATTATTTGGAGGCTGGTAGTCGCAAATATTGCGTAGTAGAGCAAATATCGTTTCTAACATCGAAGAAATAGGAGTTTGAGGGGTTTCTACGTTAGTCCGGAAGGTAGCTCATAGTTTGAATTTTGCGGTGGCCGTACTAGTTTTCTGTGCAAGTTGTACTCTTGCCTACTAATTTTGCAAAATTTGGCTGCAAAGGTTATGCCCTAGTAAACCTAGTAAGTTCTGCCCTAAATTCCCAGATCATATTTCACCAATAGGTTTTGCAGAAGAGACCATTTTTGATTATACATGTGTATCTAGCCGCGCTGTGGCTTAGGACGTTTTCTCTAAGGATTCTAATGGTTTTTATCCACTGGAACAATCTAGTATGTTGTAAGCTCAGACACGTCAATACAGCACATTCTCAAGGCTGAGAAAAACAGGAATCGATAAAGAGTAACAAGTGAGCCGTCGGAAAGCGTAGTCGCGGGTTCGAAACCCAGCTGACGTTGCAAATGTTGCTCACTTCCCATTTAGCATCCTTATCGTTGTATTTCATGTAATACTCTGCAGTGAAAAAAGAATAGGCAGCACGTAGACGTTAAAATATTGTGAGTTCGACTTCAGCTTCATCTTATTAGTTTAATGTCGACCTGTACTTCCTTGATCACTCATGTAGACGGGTGAGTAGAAAAAGTGGAGGAAGGCAAAACAAAGTCCTCGGTTGGCGTGATGGCTAACACGTGATCCATCGGATGGCCTAATCATGGGTTCGAAGCGGAGCTAAGGTTCGGAGTTTTGTTCATTTCTCAGCATGCTTTTACAGAAGATTGTTTTGATTTGTTTTACTGATCGTTTTCTCTGCCAATCTTCAGAAAGCATCATATCGTCGCCAGCATACACTTCCGGTTGGTGTTCAGGGGATAGTGTTTGTTCCTTCTTTGCATTGTATAGAATGCATAACTGAACTTTCTTTGGTATTGACTATTGACGGTGCATGAGCCCTACTGGAGCCTTCCTTCTCTAATATGTATAGCACTGTGATATTTGATAAGTGCACCTACGAACCAAAGATAGTTGAATAATAAAAAGACAGAAAAATTGCGTCGATTTCGAAATATTAGGTTAGGTTCTAGTCGTCATACTGTATTATTTCGCTAGGTGTTAATAAACCAACAAGTCTCCGGAGTTCCAAGTCCATTAATTTCGACATCATTCCAGAGTACAATCTATGAATAGAAAATTTCGTAAGAATACGAGTTTACAACAACAATTTCTCAGCGTCTGTAGTAGCTTTGGCTAGTATTCGAAGAGGATTTTAGTGTTCTAATAGAAAATGAGAACGACGTCGAATGTCATCTATATTTAGACGGACGACTACGGCTACACTTAAAAGTCATACGTGTCATTTCGTCAACATTCTTTGAACAAGGACAATTCAGTAATTTCTGTAGTAATGGCTACTAATCATATTTTTGTTACGGTATTTTATTTAGAAACGGTTTACAGTACGCATTTATTCTCCAGTTCTGGTTTCTTCCCATTAATACCATCGAATTCTGTTGAATTTGAACCATATCCGGAACGGGACAGCACATTACTCTCACGCTATCGATATCTATCTTTTACATATCTCCGGATATTCGTCATTTTCTGTTAATGTTCATCACATTCAGCTTTTTACTTCTCGATTCATGTTTTCTGAATCGCCTTTCTTACAGCACTAATGATGGCGAAATCGATTGAGAATTGTTTGCTTTGTTTCAGTGGGCTGCATTTTTATTTATGTTTACACGTCGTTCGCTGACTCAGAGCTAGCCTATCGAACGTTTCCAACAATATTAACGAGTTCTTCACAGTACGCATTGATATCAGTGCATTCATAGCAGAAAACGATTACGGCTTTTAACTTTAAGGGAGCATATCTTATCTCATAGTAAACTTTACTGAATGATATAAAGACCATGAGAACAGATTTTTGCTAACAAGGCGTCACTTTTTCCGTTGTGCTCAACTGAGATTCCGATGTTCCGTATCTCAGAAGTCATGGTCTTCCCATTTTTTAATGGAGATTCTTATTTTGAAAAGTGAAGAGGTCGAGTTGAGAGGGGCGCGTGTGGCGCAGTGGTCGGAGGCCCCACTGCAACACACACGCGGAATCGATGCCTACGCTCAGAGGACACGCAACGTCGAGTGTTTTGTGGGAGAATTTGCATTTTTATTGTTCTTAGAGAGTGATAGGTATTTGTATAGTTTGTCACGCTTTTTTCGGGGTAGAAAACTCAGTAATGAATTTCGTAGGCACTCGGTTTTATAGTAACTCCCACGACCGACTTTCCATTAACGTCGGCATTGATCAAGTAATTCTTCGTGTTTTTGTTGAGCAAACGCGAGGTGTTAGTATTCTTTATTCACGAATAAGCTGACGTTTCGGCGGATTTCGCCTTCCTCAGAGCCTGGAAAGGTCAGGTTGATAGCAATCTATTCGGCCAGACACCTCCATAACCAAACAAAGAAACTCTAAACCAAGATTTCAATCATATTGAACACAGTTTTGCACATTCACCGCTTTCTATGAGCTTTCCACTGAGTATGTCGCGTGAATCGAGAAGACAAGCGAGCAAAACTCTCGAGGCGTTCTGGATTAATTCCAGAAATCCGAAAATGAACCGCAGAGAAGAATGCCTCATTAGCACGCGTGATATTGGGCAGCATATAAGACTTATTCTGATGGGAGGGGCACATTACGCTTCCATGTGAATTCTGTGCGGTTGGTCTCCACGCGACATACTCAGTGGAAACCTCATAGAAAGCGGTGAGTGTGCAAAGCTGTGTTCAATATGTTTGAAATCTTGGTTTAGAGTTTCTTTGTTTGGTTATGGAGGTGCCTGGCCGAATAGATTGCTATCAATTTGACCTTTCCAGGCTCTGAGGAAGGCGAAATCCGCCGAAACGTCAGCTTATTCGTGAATAAAGAATACTAACACCTCGCGTTTGCTCAACAAAAAAACGAAGAATTACTCGGTTTCATAGTCTTGGCTTATATGTATATGCAAAGTATGACCGAATACCATGCTGTGGAGTCGTGGAGCTCACGTTAGTTTAACTTTTTCACGTTTAAGAAGAAGTAAGTGAGTTTATCTTTCGTTCACGCATAATCCTTCTCAATTACCCGGATGATGTTGCATAGGCTTTCATCGAGTCCTTTCGAGATCGCCTAAGAAGGTTCATGAGCAGAATAATTAGTGGACTTCGTTCTGCACTCCCTACACAAATTCCTATAATAAAATTTCTATATGAATTAGCTCAAGATTTCGGCACGACATCTTTTTGCGGTATCAACATGAGCTTCTGCCACTTGTCACATAGTGAAGTTTTATACTCTTTCACTTCATCTACTTATTTCGAGACAAATTCGACAAAGTCAACATTTCTTTCAGGGGAAGAAACGGACGGTAACAGAAAAAGCTCTTTGTACGATAAGAAAGCTATCGCATTAGCGTGGTTACATAGAAAGCTTTGTAAACGTTTTCGGTGTGACGATTTTGCTGTTAATAATGGAGGAAATCAGTTTTCTCAAGCGCATTGGTGCGCTGCAAATTTTACCGGAAGAAAACACCGGTAGCGACTAAAGAACTATTTGGAACAATAAGCGTTTAACATGTTGGGAAGGTTCTTATGTGGAAGAAATGACTGTAGTAATAGTGAGGGGATCTACCATGGATAACTAGAGGTGATGAAATGTGGATCTTGTAGACCATTCTCCGATTAGAGGAACGAAGTGTTCATATCAGAATGAGTAACAACTATGAAGTCAATAAAGTATACTGTATCAGTATGACCGCGCAGTTACGCACCAAGGTTTGCTGCCATGTGATCAAACGGTTATTTCATTACAGGGTGCATTTTGTTCATATTAACATCACTGTTTTCCATAGAAGTAGAAATAAACGGTAAACCAACGGGAGCATGGCCGAAAGTTTCTGCATGCGTCCATGTTAATTGTTTTCGTCACTTCGTAGGACTGGATCTGCATACTTTTACTCATTGAGTTGATAAAGCAGTTGTAGTGATTGAGTTCATTATGCGGACGGCCCAACTACCCAGGTGTTCGGTCCACCAACCCGCTCATCTCTTTAGGGTCCGGAAATTGGTGCTAAACCTGGCTGATTCGCTCTGATCCACGTGGGAACCCCGTGACGGCTATCTCAGGATTCCATGGAGAATCGACTCGACCAGCTTTTGACGAGATTCATGATGAATGAAAAGTCCTCAAGCAGAAGTCTAACCCACATCTAAAAAAGAGATATGACGACCTTTGTAGGTGCTGAATGCGAGAAAATGAATCGAATGTAAGAAATGCTGGGATCCGCCTAGTGTGATACACATGATATCTGATCACATAGTAGAAAAAACAATTTTAGTCTACGTGCTGTAACGCAACGCTATCCTTTGGCACATTGGTGACCGTGCTGGTTTTTCAATAAATGCACGTAATCTCTCGACCTATAGGATATTTGAAGAGTTCAGAACTTCACAGACGTGTAAAAAGAGTTTGTTTCACGGTATTAAGTTGGTATGGAATCTTTGCAAACACTTGTTCCAATTCCAAATTTGTTTAAAACTATTTTTTCGGAAAAAATATAAACGAAGTTTAAATTTCTCGGGTTCGGTGGCGGCAAACTCCAACGACGCATTGGAGAACATCATCGTGTCCTGTTGGACGGAATCCGGCTTGTTCTGTTAGTCCAGTATTTGGAATAAAAATATTTACGTACATTAAAAATAGGTTTCATGGGCTTCAGAAAATCAGAATTTCGTATCTTCACAAGAAGAGGAATTGCATCTGGTTGGAAAAGTTCTTCAAATTTTTTCCATTTTTATTCCAACTGTAAAATTTTATTTGTAGTTCAGATTTTTTGTATTAAAGTTGAAAGCACAAGTTTTTTCTCACCATATGAATCATGTGTGATTCATATAGTCGCGGGCATATTAATAATAAATCTTTTAGACAACTTTTATAACTGTTCCATTCCTAAGCCTTGAGAATGTCCTCGTCAGCTGATACCCTGAAAACTAGTCCTTAGTAAGTATTTTTCTTTTTAAAAATAGCTTTTGCTATCTGTTTTCACCAACTGTATGCGTGGTATTGATTTATGATTTTAGTGATTATTTATTCAAAGTGTTGATTGTCGGAGATTCATCGGTCGGGAAATCGTCGTTGTTGCTCAGGTTTACGGATAGCGTCTTCCATGAGAGTTACGTATCTACGATAGGAGTTGACTATGTGAGTTTTGTTTGAAGAGATATATACCTTGATCAACATTAAATGTTCCTATGAGAGTATTATGAGAATATAACCGAACAAAAATAACTCATTCTATACTTATTGATTTCATGTGGTGTCGTTAAGCGACACTTTTTCTGCAATGGCTAACATTCCTGCGATTTTCACTCTCTTCTGAGCTGTTTTTATCGGTCACTGTTTAGCGAAATGACACGGTCACAACGTTCATTCGGAATAAAGACTGTTGACGTGAGAAGAGGAACCATCTGAATTGCGAATTGCCTTGCCATTTTCTGCTGTAGTACAACGAAAAAGTATCTTTTTCCATCAGTCGATTAGTGGAGATGAAAAATAGGTGCTATAAGACAACTGCGAGAAATCGGTTGCAGGGTGAGTTGAGTGTAGCTCCAGAAAATATCCCCGCACGTCGACGCCCAGTAAAAGTACGATGTTAGACGGAAGACAAAAAGAAGAATCTGTATGTGATAATAAGGTAGCTGTCCGTTTTAAAGAATCGTCGATTTAGAGACATGCTACTACGAGTTTATAGATTTAAAGACATATTCAAGCTAAGCGGGAAGGAATGATCGGTCACAGCAGCATGATGGCAAGAAACCCCATGTGCCTGTGCACATGCTTAGCATTCGGGGATATTAACCTCATTGATCATAAATAGGTAATACGAAAGCAGTCGGTTTCCTATGAATATCGTTTTTGTTAGGTTTAGCCGAAGACTACTCTTTCTACAAACGTTGTCAAAGTCGACGAGCCGTTGTTCCGTATGACGATTGTTTAATGTTATGGTAACCATGTCATCTGTAAAGCAAAGATGGTTTAATTGCCGACCATCGATTTTCACTCCTTCATTGGCCCATTTCTATGTTAGACAGGCGTTCTCGAGGGTGGCGGTAAATAATTTTGGTGAGATGATAGCACCTTGCCTAACCCCTCTTTTGGCGTCGGTGTTAACGTTGTAGAATGGCGATATCTTAGTTGTGAAAATAGCTCACGGTAAATCTTTATATGCAGAGGAGGAATGCCCTGGCTGTCCCGGGTTTCCATGACAAGACTTCTTCTTTCCCAACTCAATAAAAAGCTTAGAGACCGGCTCTGATTAAACCACGTGAACAATAATCAATAATTTTCTACATAATTGAGCTGACATGAGTTGTACCAACCTCATGTCAGGTTCAATCATGTAGAAAATTGTTTCGTCAAAAGCTGTCTTCAAATCGATAAAAGTGAGAGGGGAGAGAGAGCGCGGTTTCTTCTACCCTAGCGATGCCCCAAGTCTCGTTATCTCTTGCATTCTTAGAACTAGGGCTGAGGTATTGTGCTTCATCTCCATCAATTCCCACGACTCATTCCGCTTTATTTCCTACGATTTTTGATTATTGTCTAATTTTCTAGTCTCTAAATTTCTTCTTTCTTGAAAACGTGCGGTTCGGCTCTTCAGAGATTAAGAATGCAGGTGGACAACTTCTTTCGTGAAAGAACTCCTAATCTCATAGAGGTTGTCTCACCAGCACAAGATACGCTGCGAGGTTTTCGAGCAAAACGAAGCATGCTCAATCTGTATACCATCATATCGTTCCCATAGTATTTTCTTGAAATTGTTTTTCACGCAGCACGAAATATTAAAGATGGTCGAGTGCACTTACTTAGGTACATGGATGAAGTGTTTTCACGAGGGTGCGACAGATAGTCTTATGTGCGCCCAGATCTGCACTAGTGGTGTTCAACGGCTCTTCTATTTGATTAACTCCAAAACAATGAATTTGTGGTTTGATTTTCTCTGGAACTCTGAGATAGCTGTGCAAGGACGTCGCGGTGTCTTCATCAGGACATGTTTGATGAGGTTAAAAGATTGCAGTCTTGGGACAAGAACTATTAGAGAACAGCAGCGACTCTTCTCATCTTCCAAATAGTCGACAGATCGGCCAAAGAAAGCATGACAATTCTTGTAGAAATTATTTTGACATAAAAACCTTAACATTGCCTAGGTGAGGAAGAGGTTCTGTATAAAATTAACTGGCCATTCATACGTAGGTTGCTCTTGTTTCTATCTAAGAGGCATCACAAATTCGGTATTTTTGTTTACAGAATAATAACAATGTCTTTTCAGAGAGTTCGTACAGTGGTTGTTGATGATAAGACAGTAAAGCTACAAATAGTGGGTCTCTTCTGATCATTTTCTGCTAATAGTACAGTGCTGAAGTGATGTATCGCAGTGGTTAAAAGTACTCGTACGATTCCACGTTGTGAAAAAACTAAGCGCTCCATCCCTACGGGGTTTCCAAATTTGTGTCAAACTTCTCTTGGAGGATAAAACACTGACCTCGTGCAAGTCGCTGCATATATGAGAGTCGCATTCACTCATCACAACGATGATTAATGAAATTGAATTCTGAACGTTTCACGCTTCAGTGTGATGCTGAAAGTGTGTATGATTTTTGGAATAGTTTTAGGCTAAGAATAAGCAGAATTCAAGACGTAGAATGCCAAAACCCTAGAAAATTGTGTATTCCACGGGTGAATTCGGCAAAAACCTGCAATCAAGTAGTAGGGAAGTATATGAGAGGTGGTTAGGATTCGCCTACAAAAAATAAGCTCCCCATCTGCTCTGAGAAAGATTGACAAAGTACCCATGAGCATACCCAGTCCTGATGTTCAGAGTTCTGCAAGTTATACGTGGGTATCAAAACGTTGAACACAATAAAATAAGTAGGCGTCATTCCTCTGACCTCGAAAGAGCCCTGGTACGGTGGCGTTGGGTAGGACGAGTACAGAGAGGCTGCTAAAATCTTAGGGCCGTTCTAGGCGAAACTTGATCATGCAGGCAAGAAAGGTGAGCTTCGTCATCGGACTGGGTGAGACGAGAAGAGGCCACCCATTCAACACCGTCTATGACTCTAGAGAAATGTTCCTCGGAACATGCGACAGTAGAGGATTCGGCAGCGTCAGTGTTCTCATCAGTACAAGTTTGGCCATGAGCATCGGTTCACTCGAATAATTTACAATGAGAATCCGGCGTTTACGACTGAAGAAGTGTCGATCAATACCGGCTTTAAAAAACTTCATCGCTTGCACACCGACAACAAGCTATTACAAAGGTGAAGTCAAAGCGTCCAATATAGACTCGGAGAAGTTCTACAGAGAATACCATACATTCTTCAAGGTTATTGTTGGAGATTTTTACGATAAGATTGGTGCCATAAGAACGTCTGGACAATGTCGCAATGGGAGCAACAAATTAGAATGGAATGAGCAAAGTGAGCTGCTGTTTGAGTTTATCGTAGCGACTAAAACCATTCATGGAAACTCGCATTTCCAGAAGCCTCACTCTCAACGTTGCATGTGGGACGCTTTCAATGGAGACCACCTATAACAAATTGGCCACATCATAGTAAATCGAAGGTTTTGCCTAACTGTTGTCAATGTTTTCCTAAAATTTTACACGGGATCAGACCAACGCCTCCTTGTTGTCAGATCTCATTTCTCGCGGAAAGGAGAAAAAGCCTCTAAATTCAAAAAACGAAGTCCGAAAACCATCATAAACTGGGATCTATTCAAATTATTAGTGAGTTGTCGGTAAGATACCGTTCTTGATAACATCGACGAGGAGTACGATTATTCAACACGTTCACGCAACTACTATTAAATCTGAGAATTCGAAAGCCACCAGGAGAGGTCTGTCCCTAGAAACACTCGAGCAGATATACTAGCGCGGATTTGCAGGTAACCGCGAATTAACGTCCGAACTAGCAAAACAATGCAGTCAGGCGATAAAAGAAGATCTTAGATAGAGAAGAGCAGCAGTAATGGCAGAAGCTGCAGAGGCTGGGAAAAGCATTAGCAAAGCCTATCGAATCTTCGCCAATTAGAACACCAAGATGATTACACTCCGACGCCCAGACGGAACAGTTACAGCGTCTAGAAAGGCAATGGAAAAAATCATTCACCAATACTACTCAGAGCTCTTCGGTAGCCACATCCACCTTCTATCACACCAAATAAAGGAGGATGTCCTCCTACTGGTTCTCCCTCCCGAAATCCGACGTACTATTTCGTTGGCGAAGAATCGCACAACACCAAATCCGGTTAGGATAAGATTTAAACACCTAAAGAATTCTCGGGCAGTCTAAACACTGTGGCTCAGCTATTCACACTTACCACACTGAGTGCTCCTACTCGGTGGAAGGCCAGCAAGATCGTTACATTGCTCAAGGAGGATGACCTCTTCGATATCGGAAACTATTGCCCCAATTTGCTTACTCTCAATCATTTAGAAGAGCCATGTGAGCGAGCAGGGTTTCGAAAAGTACGATGGACCACATCCACAAGATAACAAAACTCACTGAAATATCGCGAGAATGCGAGATATCGCTCTTTCTCGCATTTCCATCGATTTAAGGAACGCTTTTGACTCAGTTGAGATAGGAGGATTGTTCGTGAGCTGTATAAAATTTTCGAAACAAAAATGTCTCCGTTTTATATGATATTAAAATCGACGTCAAAGGAGGGGTTAGGTAAGGCGATACCATCTCGCCAAAATTATTTACCGCCACCCTCGAGAACATGGTGCAAATCCTGGATTGGGACAACATGGACGTGGTAATCGATGGTCAGAAATTACCCCGTCTTCGTTTTGCTGACAACATTGTTCGTGTAACACAAAATATTAGTTATGCGGAACGAATGATTGCCGACTTTAATAAAGCCTATGGGAAAATTGGTCTTCAACTAAATCTCACAAAAACAATGTTCATGAAGAACGGATTGGTTTCGTATGCCTCATTGACGCTCAACTGAGCGAATGTTTCCGAATGCTCCAGATATATCTATCTAGGTCGGGAAATCAACATGTTGAACGACTTGTCACTAAAGTGCGCCAGAAGGAATCGAGCGGCTTTGGAAGCTTTCAAGCGCATCGAGTATATAATGAAGAGAACAAAAATCGTGCGACTCTATGCCGACCTTTTCAATTCCGCGATTCATCATGCCCCTTAACTATG